GCGGTTCCGGTTCCCACGTGCGGGCGCCGGGCCGCGGCCGGCGGAGGTGCGCTGGCCGCCGTGAGACGCCAGTCAGCGGAAAGCAAGACCAGGCTCGGTGAGGAGCTCCGGCCGGTACACGAGGGGCGCGGGGCCTCGGCTTCCCGCCTAGCGCCCGCACCGTGAAGGCAAACGGACCGGTGCCGTCACTCGGGAGGACCTCGGTGTGCGCAGGCGCGAGGCCCGCGACCTCGGTGTGCGCAGGCGCGAGGGTGCGCGAGGCCCGCGACCTCGGTGTGAAAAGGCACGAGGGTGCACGAGGCCCGCGACCTCGGTGTGCGCAGGCGCGAGGCCGGCGACCTCGGTGTGCGCAGGCGCGAGGGTGCACGAGGCCCGCGACCTCGGTGTGAAAAGGCACGAGGGTGCACGAGGCCCGCGACCTCGGTGTGCGCAAGCGCGAGGCCGGCGACCTCGGTGTGCGCAGGCGCAAGGGTGCGCCGAGCGCAAACCAAGTCGCGGCCGCGTGAGGGGTGTGGGCCCGGTCACTGGGAGTCGGGCAAGGACCCGCGAGGCTAAGTGGAGCGTGGACCGAGGCCTGGGCTGGCCACTTGGGCACCCTGTCGTTATCACTTACCGTGGAGGGCTCAGTGGTGGAGTGCTTGCCTAGCATGCAAGGCCCAAAGTGATGCTGTGGCTCAAGTGGTGGAGCGCTAGCCTTGAGCAGTAAAAAGCTAGCCTCGGGCAAAAGCAGCTCAGTGACAGCACCCAGGCCCTGAGTTCAAGACCCAGGACTGGCAAAAAAAAAAAAAATACCATCGAGCTTTGCAGCAGCCAACATACCCTATGAGATCCTGCTTATAAATAACAGCTTTTCTGAGGAGCATGAGATGAACAGATGATCCTATGGCCCAGCTTCCACGTCAGCACTGCCCCTTCCTGCCAGTTCAGGCCACATCTCTGAGCCCACACCAACCAATGTCCCAGAACTCTACGTGTGAGCAGGAGTAGATGCTCTGAAAGTTCTGCCACCCCAGCCACCCCATACCTTGAGAGGCTGGCGCCACACACCCTCAACCACTCTTATTTACTTGTGTGGTAATATATGTATGTATGTACTGGGGTTTTAGTTCAAAGGTTTAACCCTTACTAGGCAGGTGCTCTGCCATTTGAGTCCTCAGCCATGCTCTTGATAGCTGATGGCTGGCCTCACCAAGGAACAGGTCCAGGTTGACCTGGACCAGTGACATGAGAAGCAGCAGCCTGTAGGTGGCATAATTGAGCTACAGACTTGTTCCTGTCCTCTGGCCCCCACCCCTATTGTTCTCCCCCACCCACCCCACCCCCATCCACTAGTCTCCCAGTGGTGACCTCTTAGCTGTCAGGATGAGAATGAGGTCATTCCTGAGGGACCTCAATTGTGGGACTGTGGCACTGGCCAGCCTCACACTCTCACCCCCCATCTTCTAAGCTAGATCTCTCAAATCCACCTCAAAACTGCCTCCAGCTTCCTCCTCCAGAGCCTGGGTATACCAAGGGGACAACCACATCTGAATCATGAATTTTCCTGGAAGCTTTCACACAAACATGACATTCTCCCTTCAGACCATCCCCACCCTCTTCAGGAGCCTGACTAAGTTCCAGATGGAGGAAAGACCTCCTGAAAGAGCCTTACCTTCCTGGTCCACCCACCCCCAGTGCCTGCCTGGTTCTAATGTGCAGCTGAGGCTTCTCCACTGCTCACCCCACCAGGAGCTCTGCTCTGCCCTCTCTCTTTCCACAGCTAAGCCCTGGCTTCCCTTGGGGTCTGTCCCCTGCTCCTGAGAATCCTCAGCCTTGCCCTGGGAGCGCCAATCCAGCCTGGAGGTCTAAAGGAGAGAGAGACAGCCCTAATGGGCTGTGGGAGATGCCCCACCAGACCAGCTGCACCTTTGGCCCAGAGCCTGCCCCTCCCCAATCCTCAGTCCAGGAAACAGCGGAAGCTCAGGACATTTATTTTTCTATTTGTGTCCCCTGCCTCCTGCCTACCCAGAGGGAGCTGTGACCCCAGTGGTGTCCTCCACACTTGTTTCCCCTCTACAAGGGCAAAGCAGTGGTGGGAAGGCTCACACTGCCAAACTCACACAGAGCACCCTTGTTTCCTATCACCATGCAGCTGGGGGCATCCCACGCTCCGGGAGCCCCTGCCTCCGCCACACCAGGACAGCCTTTCCCTTTCACCCAGTCCATCAGATCTCCACCCCTCCAGGGTTGTGGAGCTGTGACCCCAGCCCACCCTTGCCCAGACCTTCCTCGGGTGCTAGCCTCTGTAATCAAGGCAGTGACCAGGAGCACAAGTATCTCCATGAGGACAGACTCCGACACTGGGCCTGCTGTTCTGTACCTGCAGGCGCAGCTGCCAGCTGTGGGCCTCAGTCTCCCAGTCTGCCAAATGGGAAAGACCACAGGTTCTGGGCAGCTTCTCTTGGAAAGTCCCCAGGCAGCCCACAGCCTGGCTGGGGGCCAGCTCCCGCCCCCCTGCCAGGAGACAGAGCTAGAAGCAGGAGGCATCCCCCTGAGACCAGTGTGCTGTGGCCCCGGCCTGCTGCAGGCTGCTCTAACAATGCTCTTCCCCCGTACAATTCCCAGCATTGCCACCCGCCCGCCCGCCAGCCTGCATGCCCAGCCACTCCACCCTCCTTCCCCACAAAGACTCCAGGCAGCCACAAGGTCAGGGGCAATGGGTGAAATCTTGGGGCAGCTTGTCTGCCTTGCTCTCCTGCAGAGCCTGGCCAGGCCTTGTAGGAGCAAAGACAGATCACACCCTCCCCTTAATACTGGTGAGGTTTCATTCAAAGGGAAAGGCATGGCCCCACACACAGCCTCAGTCCTCCCAGGGCACGCCTCCCCTTCTACACAGCTGCTTCCTCTGCGCAGCACCCACGGGCTGCCTCAGGTGTGAAAGGCAGCCGTGAGCATCCAGACACAACCACTCTCCATACCTAGTACCCAGATTTCTTGATTTTCTGTCTCTACACTAGAATAGAGACTTCCCACAACAAGGACTTGGGACTGTTCTTTGCAGAATTCCCACCCAAAACACAGTCTGATGCCAGCAGAAACTCAATATGGATGTATGGATGTATGAATTGCCTCTGAATAAGGAAAGTAGATGGTCTCTGAGAAGGTGCCTGCCCCAGCCCAACTATCATCTCCAGCTAGTTTCCCATAAAAGCCACTTGTCACCAAAGCCAGGATAAAAAAAAAGAAAAACAGCACATTTATCTTTAGCCTCCCCTCCCCAATCCCACTGGCTGGTGGGCAGATGACCACCTGGGAGTGTTTTCCCACTCCAGTCCTGGCCTCCCTCCCTGAAAAGCTTAGTCTGGAAGGGAAGGGAGAGCCAGCCAACCCTTAGAGCAGTCAGGGTGAGTGCTACCTTCCAGGAGCCCAAAGTACGCAAGTGTGTCTGCATACAACGCACAGGCAGGCACGCTGAGAGACCTGGGCTCTGGAGCCAAGGGAACCGGGGTGCACAGAAGCACAGGCGTCAGGACACCCATAGACCTCTGCTACGGACCCATGGACCTCGGCTCCAGGAATCCAAGTGGGGGTGGAGAGAGCATCTTAGTAGAGGCTGCCAGCTGCAGGCATGGGGTGGAGCCAATGGAGAACTTGGGCCAGCAGGGTCTGGGGCAACTGGACAGAATGTCTGGCGCCTTCTCAGCCCATCAGCTCCCTCAGGCAAAGAGGCCAGCCAGCCTTCCTTCCTGAGCGGCTGTTTCCTGGCCCCGCCCTGCTGTTGCCACGGAAACCCAGAGCAGCCCAGCTTCCCAGCCTGGTTCCCATGGAGGGGTTCCCCCTCGGCACAGAGCGGCATTGCTGGGGAGGCCCACACAGCATGCCTCAGCACCAGCAGTCACACACACCATGCAGCCACCCCAGAGCAGAACACCCCGAAGGGTTGGACAGCAGCCCCAAGGCTCACAGCATGTCCCATCCAGTAACCCCAGAAGTGGCACAGCCTATGACAATACCCTGGTTCCCCACATACCCAACACAGTACACCAGCACTACCCCAGATTCAGAAACAGCCTTCAAGATCTTCAAGAAATGTCCTCCACACACCGGAGCCCCACAAAAGCCCCACCACTATGTGTAACGCTCCCAGTGACCCACAGCAGTCTGGTTCGCCACCTCCCACAATGACACTGTGGCCATAGGCTCCACAGGCCCCTGCCTCTCAACACAAGTTAATTAACCCCTTCCTACTCCCACTGGTCCAGGGTACCTGGGGTAGATCAGAGTCCACTCCACGCAACACCCTGAGTGCACACCACCCCTCAGCCCTACAACAGCCCTTGGTGGCACTATGCACCTGAGACCTGGCCCCACCCCTCCCCACACCTTGGTGGCACTACGCACCTGAGACCTGCCCCACCCCTCCCCACACCTTGGTGGCACTACGCACCTGAGACCTGCCCCCACCCCTCCCCACACCTTGGTGGCACTACGCACCTGAGACCTGCCCCAACCCCTCCCCACACAGACCCCACCCCCTCACCAGCACAGCACTTCACCCCTCCCCACACCTTGGTGGCACTATGCACCTGAGACCTGGCCCAACCCCTCCCCACACAGACCCCACCCCCTCACCAGCACAGCACTTCACAAAGCACATGTGCATGCGCGCGCGCGTGCACACTCACACACACAGAAAGACCAAGGATAACCCCAGCCTC